AAATGCAGAAATTAGGACTTGTATCTATTCGGCTATTTTTAAAACAAATGATAGAAAGAATGATTTTTGTTTACCTGAGGAAATACAATTTTTTTAAATAATCATGATCTAGCTCTTCAACAAGTTTTTTCATATTCAGCTGCCAATGATTTACACTAAAGGCAAATCATTTAGCTTGATGTCAAAAAGAATGTAGATTCTCTAACTTAAATTTAAGTGCAAAGGACGAGAATAGCCAAGGTATTCTGAAGATAAATCAAGTGGCAACACTTCACCAAATATCAAAACTCCCAGTAATTAAGACAGAGCAGTATTATCAAGGTTACAAAATCTGATCAATGTAACAGATACATGACAAAGCTAGAGGAAGGGCTGACTTTTCATTAATCAACATAACAGAACAGAAACCCCCCACATGAAGCCATGCTCCATGGAAATGATACATGATAAAGCTGGAGGGAAGGGTTGCCTTTTCATTAACCGATAGATGTTAGTTCATGTTTTAAAAAGAATAATAAAATTGGACCGCCTCCTCACACCTAAAACTGGTGAGGATGGATCACAAGAGTTAAGATATTGAAATACTCTCCCCCAACCACTGAACCACCCAGGATCCAGCAACCAAAGAGGCACTGCCTGGCCCAGGAGGAGGAGGCCGTCCCCGCTCAGCCCCAGTGCCGTGGCGAGCATCCACTCTGACTGGTCAGTGCCTAGACACACCAGTGGGTACAATGTTTAATATACCTTTTCACACCGTATACAAATATCATCAACTCCAAGTAACACGAAAGTGAAGGGCAAAATTGTGAAGCTTTTAGAAGAAAATAGAAGAGAATATCTTCATAACCTCGGAGTAGGGAAGAGCTTCTTAAATATGACAGAAAACTACAAACTATAATATCTGTACATAGTACAACTACATAGATATACAAAGAATAAAATAAACATACCATCAGCATACATAAAATAATGCCTGTATGTGAAAAGCAGCATAAAGAGTGGCAACACATAGCACAATGTGGGAGAAGTATTTTCAACTCGCATACAAAAACAAGAAAAGACGAGATGCAACAGCAAAAAACTAACATGGAGAACAAATAGAGAATTCTCAGGAATCAGTAAGAAAAACACAGGAAACTAATAAAACAAAATGAACAAATAACTTCATCTGGTGTTTTAAAAAACAGGAAGTTCGAATTGCCAATAAACATTTGAAAAGATGCTCAACTGCATTAAAAAACAAAAAACCAAACCCATTGCCATCGAGTCGATGCCAACTCATAGCAACCCCAAAGGACAGAGAAGAACTGCCCCATAGGGTTTCCAAGAACAGCTGGTGGATTTGAATTGACGACCTTTTGATTAGCAGCTGAGCTCTTAACCACTGCGCCACCAGGGTTCCTCAACTGCATTAGAAATCAGAAAATGCAAATTAGAACACACTGAGAGAGGATTATATCCCTATCAGATTAGTAAAAATTAAAAAGCACCAGAAAGCCAACAGTCGAGAAAGATGCGGAATTGCAACTCTCATTTACTGCTTGTGTGAGTATGATGTTGTCAGGTGCCTTCCAGTTGCTTCTGACTCATGTACAACACGAGCAACCCTATGTACAACAGAACAAAACACCGCCCAGTCCTGCGCTATCTTCACATATGTTGCTATGTTTAAGCCCACTGTCGCAGTCACTGTGTCAATTCATCTCCTGAGGGTCTTCCTCTTCTTTGCTGACCCTCTACTACTTTACCAAGCAGATGACCTTCTTCAGGTCCCTCCTGATAACATGTACAAAGTACGTGAGACAAAGTCTCAGCATATTCCCTTTTAAGAAGCATTCTGACTGTACTTCTTCCAAGACAAGATTTGTTAGTTCTTCCGGCAGTTTATGGTATATTCAATATTCTTCCTCAACACCATAATTCAAAGGCATCAGTTCTTCTTCAGTCTTTCTTATTCACTGTCCAGCTTCTGCATGCATATGAGGTGAATGAAAATACCATGGCTTGGGTCAGGCGTACCTTAGTTCTCAAGGTGGCTTCCTTGCTGTTAAACACTTTAAAGAGGTCTTTTGCAGAAGGTTTGCCCAATGCAATACATCGTTTGATTTCTTCACTGCTGCTTTCATGGGCACTGATTGTGGACCCAAGCAAAATGAAATCCTTGACAACTTCAATCTTTTCTCCGTTATCATGATGTTGCTTATTGGTCTAGTTGTGAGGTTTGTTTTTTTTTTTTAACATTTAGGTGTAATCATAAGGCTGTAGTCTTTGATCTTCATCAGCAAATGCTTCAAGTTCTCTTCGCTTTCAGCAAGCAAGGTTGTCTTCTGCATATCGTAGATTGTTAATGAGTCTTCCTCCAATCCTGATGCCACGTTCTCTTTCATATAGTCCAGATTCTTGGATTACTGGCTCAGTATACATATTGAATAAGTATGGTGAAAGGATACAACCCTGACACACACTTTTTTTGATTTTCAACCACTCATTATCCTGTTGTTGTGTTGGATCGACTGCCTCTTGGTCTACGTACAGATTCCACATGAACACTAAGTGTTCTGAATTCTCATTCCTCACAAATGTTATCCATAATATGTTATGATCTATATAGTCGAATGCCTTTGCATAGTCAATATTCTCTGATTTCAGTAAAGATTCACTTGACATCAGCAATGATATCCTTCGTTCCACATCCTCTTCTCAATCCAGCTTGAATTTCTGCCAGTTATCTGTCATGTACTGCTACAACCATTTTTTCATTATCTTCAGCAAAATTTTTCTCATGTATGATATTAATTCCCACATTCTGTTGGATCGCCTTTCTTTGGAATGGGCATAAATATGGATCTCTTCCAGTAGGTTGGCTAGGTAGCTAGCTGTCTTCCAAATTTCCTGGCATAGACACGTGAGCACTTGTAGCATTACATTCATTTGTTGAAACATCTCAATTGGTATTCCATCAGTTCCTGGAACCTTGTTTTTCTCCAATGCTTTCAGCTGAGCTTGGACTTCTTCCTTCAGTACCATCAGCTCTGTTCATATGCTACCTCCTGAAATGGGTGAAGGTCGGCCAATTTTTTCTGGTACAGTGACTCCACGGATTCCTTCCATCTTCTTTTGATGCTTCTTGTGTGTGGCGCAGTGGTTAAGAGCTACAGCTGC